CATTTGGTAATGAGTGCATTATTCCTTCTATAATCTACCTGTCACGCGTTTCGCTTGCGGTATGGTGGGTGACACCATGTTTACAGTGGCTGTAGTCCGCATCTATGCTTATGGGTTCGTCACTATGGCCTTTGCAGCAGCAAACATTACACCAGTCTTGGCATCAATTGGCTTTGTAGAATGTGTGGCCGGGAGAAGGCCAAGCAGACAAGTTACTGGGGCAGCTCTTTCCTCTTTTACGTAATGTAGGTCTGTATTTGAACTCAGGCTGAAATCGCATTTTAAAGGATACAGAATGCACCAATCCTTTTACCTGGCCCTGGGTTGCAAACTGTTGTTTATGTTGCGGCGGATTTTGTGCTAGATGGTCCGGAGAATGGGAATGCACAGACACGAAGTATAGTGTTTCAGTGCTGCCCCGTTTGAATCGCTTGTTATTGCGTTAAGATTTAGTTAGAAATCATGGGTGGTCGCCGAAACTGGAGTTTCAGAAGGCAGCGCTGCAGTCAGAACACGGGAACAACTGGGATGGAACACAGCTCCTAACTATTTGCAGAAGTATACTTTTAATGCTATCTCCCCTCTTGAGTCCCCCAGTAGCCGCTCACGGCGTCCGTCGCCAGGGGACAAGGTCGTCTTTCGTCACAATCCGGCATCTGAAGTGCATTCCCTATATTGTGTTGGTTAATATTTTGGGTTTTTGGGCCAGGATAGGTGCGCAATGACTTCTCTGCAGTGCCTGCAAAACAACTTGCCCCTATGTAGCGTAGTGTGTGCGATGTTGTAAGTCCGTCTGAAGTGCGCAAATGGGTCCTTACAGGCACTAGTAGGCAGACGCTACACACGTAAACATTCTCAAATAGTGTTTACATTGTTTGCCCATACAACCAAGAGGGTCTGTAGGCATATTTTGCAGTCTTTGACCTCGTCAGTGGGCCTATTTTGCAGCTTTAGTTGCTGCAGGGAGTGTTCCAACTCATGGCTGGCCGCCTCCTCTCGCACATCTCCAGGAGATTCAAGCGCTGAACTACGGACGCTTGGAGACAGGGAAAGGGGAGCATTTGCACCTTCGGAATTTCTCTTCGGAGAATATCAAGAACCCGTGTTACGCTGTTCAGCACCGCAGAGTTCACGGGATGCGTGTGCCGCCAACGAATCTGACCTCCACAGCAGGTTGGATCTCTCACCGAAGCTTGTTGAAAATATTCACATGTTTGTATGTTTGGGGAAGTCCTTTCCAAATTCAGAATCTTTGCTTAACCTCACCTCCTTAATTCTTTTGCAAAGTGGAGACTGCTCATGGTCTGCCCTCTGTTGGGTAAGCTACCAACCATTGGGAGACTCTGCTAGCTTAATCAAGCTCAATTTCTGCAACCCATCCAACAGAAAATGTTCTTATGGCAAATCCAATTCATACACAGTGACTCCACCGTTGCTGGCCCTCCAGATATCTTGGTCGCCACGACTGGGTGGGCAAACACGGAGAGGTAGACGTAAAGTTCGAAAACGATATGGACATACGCCATGGACGTTGGAGGTGTGAGAGCCAGACAAAACCAGAGAGGGGTTAAAAACGGAATCCGACAGCAGCCGGGGAACGCGGCCCTCAGAAGGCCGGGAGAATATATCGAGATGCGAACCTGTTTCTTGTGCAACAAACAATGTCACATAATTCGGAATTGCAGACGTATGGAAAAATAGGTGTTCGAGAAGAAATATTGTGAAGACTGAGGACAGGCGAACAAAAAATCGCGACCAGGGAAACAAGAGGACCCTACGCAACATGAAACCCAGAGATGAGGCCAGCAAAGGCGGTAGCTTCATCCGCAGATTCTCGTCTACTTCGCTGTGCGCATATCATTCTGGTGCACTCTATTGACGCCATAAATAGTCCGACTCTGTGTTTTCCAGCTGCGGCTGTGTGCAATAACAAAAGTTTTCTTTCAAAACCGCGTCCGTCCCAAGCTATCTACCTCAGTTTACAAGACAGAAGGAATAAGAAAGTGTAGTGTCGTTTGATCACAGTTCCAGTGCAGCAAGGTAAGCACCATCGAGTGTTACTGGAACGCCACACATCTTTGGAAAGTACATCTGCGTCTGTCACTCTAAAGCCATGTGTTTATGGGACTAGCTCAAAAGCCCATCAGTACCCTGTCATGACCTGGCAGACCGCCAGCTGTTCAATTTCAATTCATACTGTTACCTGAGAGTATTGGGAAGGTTAACTACCGTTTGGACCTCACAATGTAGGGTTTCACAGCAGCAGTCTTCAGCTTCTGGTTAAGCAGTGGGGAAAAGTTAAGTCGGATATCAAAGACAGAACCAATCGGAAGTCCCTCAAGTGTACGGGGTGCGGGGTTTGAACCCGCGGCCTTCTGCGTGTAAAGCAGACGTGATAACCACTACACCAACCCCGCGGCATTGGCGCTGTTCTCATCCCACTTAAACAGCAAAGGCATTACAGAGTGCGCCTGAAGTATTTTGGGGGACGAGTGAAATTCATTTTAAAGCTTTTACATGGGAAAAGTTGGCTAAAGGGGGGGAAGTCGGTGTCGTGGTGTAGGCGCCTGACGAGGGGCATGAACCTGAGAGGGAAGCGCTTTGAGACGCAAATATAGGCGCTTGATTTTCAGTGTCATGAAAAACACACAATTTTTAATGTTCATTGGAAATGAGGGTTGAACGGATCATGGTAATCAGGAAATATACTCACTAGAGGGCCGACTACGTACATACCTGTTGCAGGAATTGCGTCGCCCGTGTTTGGGGCCTACTAAGGACAGAAGTCAGCATGAGAAAAAAACAATCTATTTTTATATGTGTGTTTAATTATATGAAGCTTTTAAATGCAGGGAAGAATGGTTTCTTCGGAGGCGTAGCTACACACGCCCGGTATTTCATTGGTCGAACTACCTGAATCATTGCAGCTTGCAGCCGACTGCTGCGTGGTCGCAGGAGCTTTCGCGTGCAGCGGAACCGGATTACTCAACTTCAACATTTTTTTTCTGTAAATAATAGAAAAAATTTTTGTAGCGGCACAGTCCTTCTGCTCGTTCTGGTCCCAAATAGCCATCCTTGCCCAGTTCCATTCAGTCTCCCGCCCACGCACACTTGCTGTAGTGAACAGCGTGCCTAGGTGTTACTACGAATGACAAGTAGTTCAACCTGGTGCACACTCAGCTCCTACTAGCTAGACTTAGCTAACCTCTGAGAATACTACTTAAATAAACAAAAAATCACTCTTAAAACCTATTCGAGTCCATATTACTGGGGGGAAAACCCAGAATAATAGAACTGACCGGCTCCCCCCGTTGAGGGCCTGAACCAAGGCAGCTGCGCTAGCCTCATGGTCAGCCCTAGGTCTCGTGTAGGCGGAGGAGCACTCTTAACTCATTTGACCTCTTTTCTATCTAAAAAGTTCCCATATAAGTGTATTTATATTTCTATTCGTTCCCTCTTGTGAAACTAGACCTTTAAGGTTACTACGTGAGCTCTATTGCAGTGCGCGTGCACTACACTTGCTGAGGAGGTCGTCAGCTTAATTTTCCTGCTACACTCGAACGGAAAGATAAAAGTATCCCCGAGAATATCCAACACAGCAAGACTCACTGAAGATCCACTTCGGAAAGACCGAACTTGCCTAGACAAGCAGGAGTAGGACGGATCTGCTTGCTTGTCTTACATCAGTTCTCTGCAGCCCCAGCTGACGTCCCATTGGACAGCGCTCGCGCAACACGGCAGAAAGCACCAAATCGGAGCCCCATGGTGCTTCTAAGTATGCCCTTACTCTCTCTTTCCTTGGCAAATAGTTGTTCGTTCTGCATTCCTTTCTAGTGCGAGGTGCTGACACGCTACTCGTTCCTACGTGCGGAATGGACTCCTCCTCGTCTGATTCCTTTCTCGCAACGGCTTTCCGTGATTGGCACACGCAAACTTTGTATTCGCACCTGTTTAGTTTTTAGCAATGGCTGCAGTAGCTCTCGTTTTCATGCCGCTGGATCTTGAGCGTGACAGCTTCCTCTTTGTCAGGATCGAGCGCAGTTTTAACACACACACCGTCGACCCACACCGTTCTTACCGTTTCCCGCAGCTCCAAAATGAGTGAGAAAGACCACTCCAGTGTGAAGCTGCTGCCTTCGGCTCAAGATGAAGCCGACCGACAGCAATCCAGCAGTACCGTGGCCTCTGCCGGCGGCGGCGAAAGAGCCGCCAGCCAGGACAGTCTCTTGCCGCTTTCTAGTCCCCCGCCTCAGCAGAAGGTCAAGTCATTAGCTGCAGAAACAGCAGCAGCAGCTCAGTCAGCCCCGCAACAATGGAAAACAGCTGCTGCAGAGCAATGCAAAGAAGGGAACCTACAGGGGAACTCCAAGTGGAGTCCTAACGAAGCTCTGGACGGTTGCTGTAGTCCGCAGGTCTCGCCATTCACCTACGACATGCATCTTTCCAGTACTAGCGTTGGATGTGGCAACAACAGTGAAGCGGTTGCTAATATAGCTGGAGCTTCTACGTTCGCAAGCCCTCCCAGCGTCTCACGGCCGCAGCACTTGTCAGTTTGCGTATCTTCTAACAGCAGCAACAACAGCCTCAACATCTGCATGAAAAGCCTCCGTTCCCAAGCACCGAATCAGCAGCATGCCCAGCTGCATCAGCAGTCACAACAGGAACAGCCTGTAAGCTGCATCATTATTGAGGGATACTCTGGTGAGCTGGCCTACATAGAGTTCGTGCCTCAGGGGGACCTCACAGGACTGCAGCTGCTGGCTAGGGCGCGGAGACGAGGAAACAGTTCGGGGTTGTTGCGAGTTGCTGCCGCTGCATTCGATTCCTCCACAGCAGCAGTACATGGACAAGGTGAAATTGCCCGTACGACAAGCTCATCTGTAAGAAAACCCCTTACTCCCACCATAGCTGTGCAGCAGCTAAGGCCGTTGCTGCAACAATCTCCAGTTTTATCTGATGCAAGGGAACGAGGAGTTGGAGGTGGGACAAGTCCTGGCATCCACAACGGAAGCGGCCCTCGCTGCTGGGTGGTTGGTTATGAGGAGTTGATTGCAGGACTTTTACCGGCTTGGAGGTCTTTGAGCTCAGTAGGACATATAAGCAGATAGTGTGTTTTGGGGTTTTGTGTCTCAGTTGGTTCGTCTCGCTCTGTATGTGGCTCTTCGTCTTGACTCTCGCCCTGCTGTTTTTGCCGCCCTCCCTGCGCTACCCTACCCCTTATGCCAGTCTCTCTTTCCTAGCCTTTGCTTTGCTCTGGGCTCTGCATCTGTTTGGGCTATCTGTTTTGAACTTGTGCATTCTTACCCCTGAGCTACTTGTTTCCTCAGGGTATTTTTTTGCCCGTCTTCTCGACACTCGACTTCCATCCCCTAGCCAGTGCTGCGTTTGTATCATACGTTCCACGATTTATTTGATGCATTCCACATTCAGGAGTCCCGCATTTCTCTCTTAAGCGCTGTGGGCGTCTCCACTTGGCAGTCTTTCTTCCATCTTCTCGGTTTATCTCAAAACGCCGGTCTTCTGCCCCGTTTGCTGCAAGCCATAACGACCCAAGCAGGTACCCGCACTTCCTATGAGACGTCTAGTGACGTTGCATCTCCTTAAACACACCAGCGCAAAGCCAGTGATGAAGGCAATTTCCTGCAAGTGAAGCTTCATTTGAGCGGGTGAGAGCTGTTGCTGCCGGGGATTTCGTTTGCGGTGACGCAGAGAAAGGGGATCGGTCTCTTCGTCGCAGACTAAAGAAAGCTCTGAGCACTTTGCAGGGCTTTCGCATCGAGCTCGAAGATCAGCAGCAGCTACTGGCAAAGACACGCTTCCTCCGCCGCCACCGCAGCAGCAGCAACAGCAGCAGCACCGGGCCTCAAGAGGCTCTGCAAAAAATTATCCAGTGCTACGTGGGGATATCGAGGCTGGCGGAAGAGACGCATGCTGCTGCTGATGACCTACTGCAGCACGTCAGGAATGGGAAACAGCTTCAGCAACAGCTGCAGCAGCATCAGCTCCACTTTGCGGCTGCTCTTGGCAGAATCGATTCCTTCGCCCACTCCCTACAGCAGTTGCAGCAGCTTGCCAGACAGGAGGAACAGCAACTGCAACAGATGCAACAGCAACAGAAACAACACATTTGGAAACTTATGGACCAGTGGTCATCTGGGGAAATTGAGATGCAGCAGCAGCTGCTAAAAACGGTTCTGCAAATCGCAGCAGCAGATGCAAGGCACTTGGATGATCTGCGAGACGCTTGGATACAGGTGTATACCGGAAGCGCATTCCTGCTGCTGCTCGTGCAGTTTTAAGGTATCTGCTGCTCGGCTTTTGACATGGTGCTCGATTGTTGTCGTTTCACTGAATGATGCTGTGTTGCTTGCTGGTGCTGCTCCTGCAGCTGACTTGCTTGTGCGCGCTACCAAGGAAACTGGCAGCAGACGACACGGTGGATGCAACGCGAGCAAAAACCACAGCAACAACAGAATCAGCAGCAGGCGGTCTTGTTGATACGCTACCTGCAGATGAGCCGCTTGCTAGAAGGATTGGGCTCACGAAGGAGAGCGCCCCTCGTCTGTTGTTGCTTTGCCTTATGCTAGGTTCGCAGTAACAGCAGCCGCAGCATTCTAAGCAAGCGCAAGAGACAGCAACATTAGAAGAAAGCAGCAAGGAATCGAGAGCAACGGGCCACAAGCGACGGGCCAACACTGGCGTTTGTTGTTCTGTTTCGTTTTCGCAGGAGCCGACGAGCTGGCAGTTTGGGTCATTCATTGGATTGACGCATGTATGCCGATTGCAGCGCCTTCTGCAGAAACAGGTTGTTCAGGAGCCGGAAGAGCTCCTGGTTGCAAAGACAAAGTAAGACGCAGCAGCTGTGTTCCTACACTAGTAGCGGCAGAAGACTTCGCATCTGGCATTGCAGAAGCACAGGAGGACATGCAGCCCGAAGCAAATGTCTATACACCAGAGATATTCGCCCTCCTAAGGAGACGTCTGCTGCGAATCCGCGCATGCAGCCATCTGCCAAGGTGCAGCAGCAAGATGGCGAAGGCACGCATTGGCCGGTATGCTGCAGCATATCCTTCCGACAATATGCATGAAGGACCATACAGAAGCAGCTCATTGACCACGGAAAACACCACCAAAGGGCAATATGCTTCGGCGGCCGCCGAAGCATCGGCGGCTCCTGCTGCAGCACATGCGCCTGCTGAAGCAGAATCCAAGGTAGTAACAAGCAGCAAGAGTCTGAAGACAGTTGCAACAGGAATCTGCCCCTCCCCAGCAAGTCGTCGTAGTTACACAACAGATGCTCACGCTCCGGGGTCTACCTTAGGTAGGCACAAGCAGCAGCATCAACAACAAAATGGAGCAGCGGCTACAGCTGTTCAGAGCCATTCTGCTGCTTCTACAACCTACGCATACGATTACTTGGGCATGGTTGAGCCCCTGCTTGAGTCCGAAGAGGAAGCGCAACTGGTGCGTCAAATTAGGACGCACGACTTATTGCTGCTCCAGCGGCAGCAACAGAATCAGCAGCACTGGAGGCAAGAGCAACAGCAGAAGCCAAAGCAACAGTTTGCCGAGCAGCTGAATGGTGTTATTACTCCCCCAGATGGATCTTCCGTAGCGGCCTTACAGCAAATGCACCAGATGTACAACGGCATGGGCCAAGTGACGCAGGAACAGTTGATGCTTCTGCAGCAGCAAAAAGAGGAGCTTCCGCAGATGCAACAGCGTACATCGTACAAGCAGCAACTAGAAAGTTTTGCTCAGCTGGACACCCCTCAAATGCCTCCAGTAATGCCTTCTACTCTATCCCCCCAAGAGCACCAGCTAAGATTGTTGAAGGACGACACAGAGAAAGTCCTGCACCCGGAGTTGTTGTTTCTGCAACAGAAAAATCCTCAACAGCAGCAGCGTAGGGTCCAATCGGCGTCTATGTCCCAGACAGCAACAGCTGCTGCTGTTGCACCAGAGCCGCGACGCAGCAGCCGACGCTTGACCTCACCGGCAACAAGGCAGTTGTCTGTGAGGCGACGTCAGCAGCAGGCCGGTGTGTTCGCTGCAGCCCCCCCCAAAAGCAGCAACAGCAGCATGTCTCCCAATTCTCGAGGGTCATCAGTAAAGGGAATGAGAGAATTATCTCCTCCACAGTACAGTCAACAAGCGAGTGAACCCAACGCCAAGCCTCCAGCAGCAGCGATGAGAAGCAAGAGTGTTGCAGCTAAGCCTGCTGTTGTAGCACGGCGCTCTAGCAGTCCTCAGCAGCATCAAAAGCAAGAAGAGCCGGCAACAATTTCATCAACTGCCCATACAACGAGCCAGCAACAGCACTATACGCAATGGCGGCAAAAGCAGCACATCACGCACCATCACGATTCTGAGCAGTATACTGCTTTGGATCTGTGAGACCAGTGCCAATTGCCTCCCTCGCACATGATTATACGTCTGCTGATAGTTACGCTTTACCTTGTTCCTGCACAGCCCCACTTGTGCCCCTCCAAAAATGTGAATTTTCTGGTGTTGTTCACGACTGCGCAGGACTCTGCAGCGGATCTTTAGAGTTCCTGGGATAGGCAACCAGGAAGTGAATGAGAACGGTGCAGCTGCAGCTGAAGCAGCAGCAGCTGCTGCTGCAGTTGCTGTGCAGGTAGCGAAAAGGCACCAGCAGGGAATGGGCATGTCTGGCGAGGAGCGCAAGGCCTTGGCCGATAAGCTAAGAATGCTGGCACAGCAATTGCACAACGATGAAGACGAACCGCATGCACGGCAGAAATTCCAGGACCAACAGCCTCAGCAGCAGGAGAAGCAGCTGCAGAACGAACAGCAGCAGCAACAACTGGAGCGACAGAAACAGATGTTTCCAAACATGAGCATCCATGCAGACAGCGTTGCCTCTGCATCCCCTCGAGCCAGGGACAGGCGCACCAGTAGTGGCGCAGTTGACGATGGATGCCTTGTTTCTTTGGAGAATAGCACGGAAAGGCATAAAAAAGGAAGCAGCAGGAACAACAGCGACTTCGCCACAAAATTAGGAGGAGACTCCGCGAAACCATCGGGACCAACAGCAGCAACAAACAAAAGGGTACAAGGCTCTGCAGCGTCTGCTGAACAGCTTGAACGCAGAGAAATGAGACATTCACGCTGCGGATATGGATTTGATACAGCAGCAGAGGCAGTAAGCAGATCAGCAGGCGAATTCGTAGCAACAAGAAGTGTCAGTCCCCCCACTGCAGAGAAAGAGCAGCAAGCAAGAATTATTCAGGTGCTAGACATCCTCATGAGGCAGATCGAGACTTCTCAAAGCCTTGCTGTCCCTAGCGGGACAGCTGCAGCAGCAGAACCTGCAGCGGCAGCAACGAATGCAGAAACAACGCGGAGGGTTTCGTTGTCGTTTTTCCCTCATGACCCGGATGAAGTTCCGGAGAAACCTGAAACGCTGCAGCAGAAAGAGGGTCGTGGCAAGACCAAAAGGAATCCAGCGACACAAACAGAGATAGACTTTGCAGGCTCAGGGACAGCAGAAGCGTCACCATCAAAAGTTGCAGCAAGGCATGTTCACCAGTGTAGTTCAAGGGCTGCATTGAGCACGGGCTTGGGGCGGCAAGGACAACAAGAATGTTCTGCTGCTTCGGGTGTATCCAGAATACAAGAAGACTCAGTGGCATGTGCAGCAGAGAATGACCAACATCCTTTCCCTACCTCCATGCCATCTCTCGCCGAAAGCTGCACGAGCTGCAGCGATCAGTGCATCCTGAGGAGAAATCATCCGCCAACAGCTTCCGAACTGTCAAAAGGAGCTGCAACAGGTGCTGCTTCCTTTGAACGAAACGTTGCTGCAGGTACGACCAGGAGACGACAGCATGACCCATATTCAAAGGCCGTGCTGCGGCTTCTGCACGATGAAGAGCAGCAACAACAGCAAAAGGAAGGTAGGAAACAGCATCAAGCCTCGACCAACAGAGTCCAGCGCCAGCAGTCACAACAGAACGAGGCCTTCAGTGTTTCTGTTTCGCCACAACATCGCTCCATCTCAAGGCATCATTCGTTGCCACAGCGCCACGTCGACCTTGCGAGGCCGGCCGCTGCGCAGCACCCAACAGCAAAGCCTGTAGCACAAAGTGACTCTGGAACAGCATGTAACTCAGACGAAGGAGCGTCTACAACACAACCCGAAGCAAAAGAAGAGGAGGCGGAGGTATCACCAGCGCCTGCTGCTCGGAGAGAAGCACCATCTGAAGAAAGTATCACAGTGATATCAAAAGGGCAACAGCAGCAACAGCCAGAGCAGCATCCCTCCTACGGAGTAAAGCCAAACAGTTCCAAAGATGATTCCCTATACGCATCCTCAAACTTGGTTGGGTCAGTAACTGTCGCTGCGGAGGCTGCACCTTTTCGCGCTAAAGCTGATGCTATGGCAACAGCATCAGCATTCGAGCCCGATGCAACGCCAGGAGCCCTACAAGCGGAGGCAGCTCCAGAAGCCTCAGATGGAAGACCAAGGGCAACAGTTCCAGGAAAGCCCTCTGGAGAGGCCACTTCAGATAAGCGACAGCAACAGCCCCGGGGCAAAGCAGTGCTCCTTGGGAACACGGCATGGACCACTGGTAGCAAGCGCCAAATCCAACGCAGCGTCATTAGCAGCAGCAACATTAGCACCAGCAGCAACAATGCAAACAGCTACAGCAAGCCTGCGCCCTCCAGAAGAGTTCTAGAGAAGCGATGCGGGGAACAAACAGACGAGGAGGCAAATCGAAGCCAGCAGTCGACGGTACAAAGGCATGTGCCTCATCATCAATATACAAAACCGCACCAGCAGCAGAATAAGACAGAAGGGAATGCAGCTTTAGCAGCAGCAGACACGCCAAGCCTGGGTGCTATTTTAGCGGCTTCTGCCCATAGCACCACCACTCCACAGCAGCAGCAGAGGCGAGAACGGCAGCTGCTGCTGCTGCAGCAGCAGCGACAACGCTTGAGGCAACAGCAACAGCTGCAGCAGCAGCAGCAACTATCTCCCCTGGAGGAGCTGAAGCTTCGGAGAATCAAAGTGAAGGAAATGGCACTGCAGCAAAGACTAAAGGCTAATGGACTGGCGTAAGCACTCATGCCATAGGTTGAAACATGCACGCCTAGACCGCCAGAGAGGCAGTCAGGAAGTACACCGCTGTAAGCCAACGTGCGGAGAGGCCCGAGCCAGCTAGCATTCGCGTGAATTACTAGTATGGTGCTTGCGGGTTTGTTGTTGACACCGCTGCTGCTGCTTCAGGAAGCGCCTGCCACAAGAAGAGGAACTCCAAACAGATTCGCACTCTAAGGGGCCCGCTGCGCCTCCGCGTCCCTCGATAAAGGCAAGTTCTAAATTTTCATCCCACTCCGCAAGAGGCGAATTTCCGTCTCAGATATCTGCAATGCATGCAAATTCGTCTGTCAGTATTCTCTTGGCTTTCATGAACAACTCAGCGTGGGGAAAATTGGGGGCTGTCGCTGCGAGTGAACATGGAGGTGCAAATGCAACCAGAAACACAAACGCAAGATGAGCAGACAAGGATAAGCTAAAGCGCAGAACTGAAACCTGAATGTGACGTGGGGCTTATTTAATATTTATGCTCAGAGGAAAGTAGAAACATCACTAACAGCTTCGCGAGAAAAAGCAGCTGATGCCACACCAAATTCAGTCTCATCGACAGAGCGAAACCCCCGAGAACAGCAGCATAAGCTGTTCAAGAGAGCAGGAATAGCAGATGCGGCAGTCGCTACTGCTGTTCAAGAAGCAAAGAGGCGGCTTAGAAAAAAGAGAAGGCATTTTCTACAACAGCAAAATATGTTGCAGCACCCGCACATGGCAACCCGGGATGTACGCAGCGAAGCAGCTGCATAGTAGCAGCCTCTGTTCTTGTGGTTAATTCTGTTCAAGCTAAATATGGTGCACCAAAATCCCGAGTTGCTCCATCAGGGAACTTAGCTCAAAGCATGCGGAAGAGAGTCTGTTGCTGTCAATGTGCTGCTGTTGTGTCCATCAGGAGTTGCTGCGGAGGAGGGACGCGCGTCTAATGGCCTTCGTGCGGCAGCAGCTGATGCTGCCGGAGACTGAAGCTGAAGCAGAAACTGTTTGCGCTGCTAATGCTGAGAAGGGCTTGTGCCAGCAGAAGAAGTCAGTTTTAGGGCCTCCCAACGTGGTGTTACTAACAAAAAAGCAGCGCGAGTCTCTCTTCCAGAGCAACAACAAGGGCGACACCAGCAGAAGACTGATGCAGGACCCAGAGGAACAGCGGCAAGAGCAGGGAGCATGTTGTGAAGGAAGGACATCCCGAGGATGTGGTGAGGTAGCTACGCTTTCTTTAATGCTACTTCACGAAGAGGTGCAACAGCGACAGAAGAAAAAATAGCGGTTCGATTCCGCTTATCTCCAAATACTGATATAAATAATTCTTAAATGTATATAAAAAAAATTTTTTGTATTAAATGAGTTTGATCCCGGCTCAGGAAAAACGCAAGAGACGTGCCTAACACATGCAAATTAAATAGTTTATTATTAAATATAGTGTATTGGTGAGTAATATATGAAAATTTAATTTGAGATTAGAAGTATTCTTAATAACTTAGGGATAATCTCTGATAAGCACATTTATTTAAATTTTGCTTTTAAAAAGTTAAAACTGTCTAAAAAAAAGTTCATATATGATTAGCTAATTAATAAGATAATAACTTATTAAGGCGAAGATCAGTAGCTGCCCTGAGAGGGGGATCAGCCACATTGGGATTGAAATACAGCCCAAACTCCTACGGGAGGCTGCAGTGGGGAATCTTCTGCAATGAGCGCAAGCTTGACAGAGCATCGTCGCTTGAAGGAAGACAGCTTATTATAGTTGTAAACTTCTTTTGCTTAAAAGTAAATACTGACACTTAAGTAAATAAAGTATGGGCAAATTCCGTGCCAGCAGCCGCGGTAAAACAGGGGATACAAGCGTTATCCGGAATTACTGGGCGTAAAGCGTATGCAGGTGGTTTTAATATATTTTTATATAAAAAAAACTATATATTTGTTTTTAGTAAAAAAGTTATTAAACTAGAGTTTGTTAGGGGTAAAAGGAGTTTTTTGAGGAGTAGTGAAATGCGAAGATACAAAAAAGAAGACCAAAAGCGAGCATTTTACTGGAGCAATACTGACACTGAGATACGAAAGTTAAGGTCGCAAATGGGATTAGATACCCCAGTAGTCTTGACTGTAAACTATGGATACTCGGAATAAAATATGTATTATATCTTATTCCTTAGCTAACGCGTTAAGTATCACGCCTGAGTAGTACGCTCGCAAGATTGAAACTCTTGACGGGGGCTCGCACAGGCGGTGGAGCATGTGGTTTAGTTCGATGTAAAACGAAGAACCTTGCCAGAGTTTGAAATATTTGTTTTTAAAAAATTAATAATTTTTTATAATTACAAATACAGGAGGTGCATGGCTGTCGTCAGCTCGTGTCGTGAGATTTTGGGTTAAGTCACGTAACGAGCGTAGCCATTATTTAAAGTTACCTAGCTTTAAAAACAGCCTATATTTATTATATAAATAAGGAGGAAGGAATGGAAAACGTCAGGTCTTTATGCCCTTTATACTCTGGGCTATACACGTGCTACAATGGATGGTACAATAAAATTTGATATTAGAGAAAACAGTTTTTTCTTTAATTCTATTTGGAAAAATAGATATAAATATATTTTAAAAACATTCTTAGTTCGAAACATAAATTGCAATTTATTTATTTGAAGCTGGAATCGCTAGTAACCGCCGGGCAGTCTTACGGCGGTGAATAAGTCATCGAGCCTTCTACACACCGCCCGTCACACCATGGGAATTAATTATTGTTGAAACTCCTTTTTAAGAACATAAATAAGAATTAATAACTGGGGTGAAGTCGTAACAAGGTAGCAGTACTGGAAGGTGCTGCTGGATAATATACTTACTTTATTATATCGACAACTTATTTTGTTGGCAGCTAATACAAGCTTTGACCCACCTTTATATATCTAAATTGTGAAAAAAGTTATCGGCAAAAATACTAATAAATACAATTATTGGGAAGATAGCTAAGTGCTAGAAGTAGTAGAAAGGGGCTGTTAGCTCAGCGGTAGAGCGCACCCCAGATAAGGGCGAGGTGTCTGGTTCAACTCCAGAACGGCACAGCTGCGCGGCTACGCCGCTGGGGCTCTCGACTCGCAGTCATGGAGAAACAGGTACTGTTGCAGCCGCGGCAATAGCGGTGGTACCAACACATCCACCCTTCCCATTCAACTTCACTGGTGCTTCCCCCCTGCCTTTGGAGGACCGCCGAGAACAGGTCCAGCAAAAGCAGGGAAAATGCCCGTCTGAAGCAGCTTCTGGAGGTACCGCACCAGAACCAGCAGGTGCAGGTACAGCAGAAGCAGCGAAAATCCCTCCGTCCCCGAGGCAAACTGTCACAACTCCACGAATCTCTACGGACACGTTTACGCCGATTCCTATTGCTGTTGCTGCAGTGTCATCCAGGCAAATTGCAGGTGTTCCAACACCTGCTTCTGCCGCTGTTAGCACGGAACAGCGACTTGAGGCCGTCAATGAGTGCGCCAACCGCGTCCTCGAAGATCTTCGCCTTGAAAGCGAAATATATGCACTGCTGACTTACACAGAGAGACCCACCAGGCGTAGCAGAAGCAGCAGCCGCAGCAGCAGCAGTGACAAGCTCTTTGATGGGCTGAAGGAAACGTTCGCAACTCCGAGAGCAGCAGCGACCCCCACGAGTGGAAGCACGAATACATCTTACATGCAGTCTAGGAATAAGGTCTTACATGCAGTCTAGGAATAAGGTCTGTTCTGACAGTTTAAAATCCATAAATCCGCCTGGTGACTACTGGGAGCGGCGAGTTGCTGCTTCTACAAACACAACAGATATCCCATCTCATGCAGGAACCGCAGCAACAACAGCAACGTCAACAACCACCTCCGTCTCGGTATATAGATAACGATTGCAGCCGCTCAAGTAGGCCATCCTTCGTCCCCTCTGAAAAAGAAACTTCTGCTCTCAGGAGTCGGTCCCTGCAGTGTACACTGAGAGCAGTAACTGACCGCAGCAGCAGCAGCAGGAGCCCTAGGTGCAACCAGTTGATTAGTTCTCGAACGATCGGGCCTGCTGCACCAGCCAACCCAGCTGAGAGTGTATCAGCCACATCAGCAAACGCAGCAGTGGCAAAAACGATTGCAGATACGCAGTCAGACAAAGCCGTGGTGCGTCTTTCTCTTGACAGCTTAGGGTGTTTTCCCATGCCGAAAAGCTCAAGCATTGCCTGCTCCGAAGCGGATGATGCGCTGAAGCAGGAAGGTCTCCAACGCAAACACCGGGAAAAGAACCTGCCGCTGCAGCATCAAACGGAACCGAAGACAAGGAACTCATTTGTGCAGTCTCTTAAGGCCGGAGCAGACGCTTACCGCTATCACCAGCAGCAGCATCAGCACCAAGACGGACTCCCCCTTACCGAAGGGGAGTACTTTCAGAACAGCGATTTCTAGAAGCTCTGGCAGCTCAGCGTGCAGCTGTATAGTAAACAGCACTGTTAGCAGCGGCAGGGCAGCACCAGGTGCGGTGTGCCGGCCCCAACGGGAGTTCGCGAAGCTGCCTCAGGGAAATGGCCTTGAAAGATGGGATACCAGCCCCCATAAACAACTGGACGGTGAGGGGAAGCTTTTACCAGGAGAAACGCCTAACTTGAATCAGGACGATGGAGGGGGCTGAAGGAGAAGTCGAGGTGCTGCTGACGCCGGAAGAGGCTGAGTGTTCTGTTGACGATTGGTGGGGGGGGAAGGGGGGGTCCCATGTGCAATGAGGGACCAAACTATAGCAGTAGCAACAGCATTGGGAGCAGTCACAAGTAGAACAGCACACGTTCCCCGTAGCTGTCACCTAAAGTGACAACTGCTCCCGCGTAGGTTTCGTCCCCGAGGTGGCACCCCTCGGGGCTCCGCGTTATCATAGCCGCTTCGCCCTATGGACAATGCACAATGCTTACTATCTATCCAAGCCTTCTACTTTATCCCTTCTGTGGGTTAACGCACGTCGAGTTACACTATGCACAATAGGCTGTGTGCACAACTATGCGAAAATGCACGTATCAGAAGACGAGCGGCTCACGTATCAACACACGAAAGTGTAGCATCAGACAAATATGCGGGCTAAAGACCTAGAAACAAGAAGAAGCTGATAAGTGGCTCGAAGACGAATTTACCACCAGAAAAGGACACACAAGCAGATCAAACAAACACTACTAAGGGAAGGGTTGTCTTCAGTCAAAAGGAAATTTTTCACTTGAAAATGAAATTCAAAAGATAAAAGAAAAAACTGAGTTCCTTGAATTAGCCATGCGGCTAGGAAGGTGACCGGATGGGATGACTGAGCGCGCAAGCATCAAGCGATAAAGGCATCTACAGCAATTGCGCCGTTGCTACATCTTGGTGCTCCCATCCGTACTGCGGTGCATTAGTATGCAGAAATGAGGTCCATCAGTCTGATACCAGCTGGGATGGAACTTGAGTCATCTGGAGTGGCCTGGTGCAGCCCACAGAGCTGCACCAGGGATATGCCATGTTATTGACGCCGCCGTTGTGGTTTTCCTACTATATTTAGGCACTTTCGAGAAAATTCCAATGCTTCTGTGTCTGTATCTTCGCTTCCCTCTGGTAGATTTCTCCCGAACAATATGGGACTGCAGCGTATGCTGTGTAATGCTAGTTTTACGCAATCATCACTGGGGAGAATGCCTCGGCTTTCCAAGTTGACTTTCTCCACCGTCTCCACTCAACACGTACGTGAGTTTTTCAACCAACTGCGCTTGCAGGAATTGGGTGTGCCACTTAGAGCTCCGCTTGATTTTCCATTCTCTAGTGGCTTACCACGTACTGCAGCTGAAACGAAACAGTATTTTCCTTCGACTGCCTGCCCGATTCTGTCGAATCATACCCGAAGTGGCTACGCGTATGTGGCTCTTTCCCCCCTACCTTTTTACACTATTTTCCCTCTTCATTGCTTATGTAGAGATGGGTAGAGTGCTCTCGTACGACAGGTCAACGGTCAACAATGAGCTGGGGAATAGTCAAGGTGAGTAGGCGTAGATATAACTCCACACTGCTGGGCTGCCATCCCAATATCCAGGCATCCTGGGGGCAGTTGCAAAACTGGCTAAGGCTGGTGTGGAAAGATAGCAAAATCTGCCCCAAGTTGCAGCTCTCCCCTCTACAACAGGCACATGTCGTCTTGTGCCTGTACACAAAGTGCCGCGTGATGAGGTTTCTGATATCTAGGGTGTATGCCGCTATTGTTTGAATATTAATTTGCAAGGGCCATTTGTCATTCACATAAAACCCAAACGGAACGGGATGGAAGCCGCTTCACCTTGGTGCGTGTGTGTGTGAAACAATTAAGACAGTCTGCTGGCGGAATCGAAACTAAAATTTTCTGCCCGACGACTTGACTTCAGAAACTCTGCCTGGAGTGCGAAAAACATCGGCCAAGCTTCTTTGTGTGCAGCTTTTGCATTATCTAATATGGGTTGTAGTCGGAGTTTCTTCATTACATCTTTGAGTATGTAGTTTTGAACGTTCCTGTCTGCCCCGATATGAACCTGAATCGACCGCTCGCGGGCGGTGTGCTGGGTTTTTCTGTGCTTGCTTGCCTGCACCTCAATGAGTCCCAACATTATAGACAAGAATTAAACAATCAGAGATAACTGGTTTTCAACCAGAGGCAATGCGCTTGTCTTGTCTATCGTTTGTCCGTAGACACAACCAAACGCATTCATCGGATCGTGCGGTTTGCACGGGAGGGCAACGAGCAGGTGAACTTGGCAGTGGTTCCCTCGGCGGTTGCGAAAAAAAGCGGGTGGCTTATCCATTAAGTAATATACTTTTGATTAGCATTTCTTCCATGTCCGATTCCAGTTGACTCTTCCGTTCCTTCCGCAACGCACAAAAAAGGCCAATCGGGGGACATCAGCAGCGACGACTGGGGAGGTGGCTCGAGGGCAGCACAGGATTCAACAGGAGAGCCCCGTCCCTTTTGTTATATAATTTTGGAACCTGTGGATACGTGCCTTCTCTATGCTAATCATCTAGGGTTCAGTTGGGGGCGTGCATAGCCAAGCTCATGTAGACTCTGCCCGCCGTTGGAGACTGTCCCGTCGGTTGGACTTTCCCCTTTTCTCTCGACGTCGGTGCGGGCGTTTGACTAAAATGGACAATTTTTCTGGTACAACTGAAACGGGCTACGCTTTTTCTGGGGGCGAAGCTGCAGCAGAAGAGGCAGGAGAGTGCGCTCGGAGCTCCTGTGCAGGGGCGAGCGATTTTGAAGACTATGACGAGGATCAAGAAGAGGGATCAGAGGACTATGGAAGGGATGAAACTTTTTCTTTGGTGGTGCCCCTTGAGACGCCAAAGCAGAAATTACCCTTGTTGCTGGCCTATTCTCTTCTAGGCGCGTGGATTGTGTTTCTTGTGGCAGTGGGCTGGAGGGCGCTGAAGGGGGGAGGCCCCAAAGATCTAGCGACAATGCCTTTAGACTCAGACTCGTTGTTAACGTATCGCGATAGATTCAGAGAGAGTGCAGACAAGCTAGAAGCCACGTGGAACAGAACTTCCGAGACAGTCAAGAACGCCTTTGCTAAGTACCATTTACCTACCATTCACGACGAAGAACAACTCAGTTCCAGTGAAGCATGGAGTCTGCTGCAGAGGCAGATTGATGCAATGAACCAAACTCCATCTCCTGAAGCCCTCGCCTCTACAGAGGAGAAGTGGAAGTACGCGGCGCAGCTACAACTCGTAACTTCCCTCTGCAATTCTGCGTCTCAGCGCCTTTCCAGCATGGATAAACTGGGGACCAAGGCAGAGAAAACAGGGTTTCGGGTGTTCTCTTTAGGTAGAGGAGATGCTCCTATGCTGCAACTGCCCTCGGACGACACAGCAGCAGCAAGCGAAGAAATGACTTCATCTGAATTTCTTAAACGCCTGTTTCCGCGAACGCACCGTCAAATGCAAGCTGCGGAGGTCAGAGGAACTGCTCCGCGTTCCCTAGGCCTCAGGCTGGAGAAATTGGTACAGGCGCTTGATATGTACACCCTAGAAGGGCTATACGTCGCTATGGGCTTTGACGGGGTATTACAAGCCTTCGGGCTGGCGTTGGGAACCGACAACGATAACCGCTTTATATCTGCTCAGCCAATCTCCTCACCTGCAGACAGAGTTCCTGCTGATGCGAGAGTTTTGCTTCAGTTTATATCCGAGCAGTTCGAACAGTCGACGCAGACGCTGTGGTCCCTGATTGTTGCTGAAACTTGCACTAAGCAATGGGGGAAAGCCACTGTGGAAAAGCTGCTGCAATCAGTTGAGCGTGGAGAGGAGGAAAGAGCGCGGGAACTGCTGAAACGTAAGAGAGATCTCGTACAACAAGCTGAAATTGAGAAAGCTCTCCCAAGGGGTCATATTCTTGCTTTGTCCCTGTTTTTATTGTAGTGCAATTCCAAAGCGCCCGATGCATGCCGGCCGTTGTCGGGCGTGAAGAAAGTGATTCACCCTTTTTTGTACAGCTGCAAACCTTGTGGGCTATTCGGTGCTCTTCAAACTAACACAAAAAATTATATCTCTGGGGGCGCGTGCAAGGGTCAACAGCAGTTTGGTTGTAAAATTTGCAGATATATCAATCAACGGCGCGGGTAACCTTCTTGGTCAACACCCTGCAACACTTTTGCCGATACGGGGAAGCTTCGACCTTCTAGCTTCATTCCCTGACAGTCAAATGTATTTGAACTGCCTGGGCATTCACACCTCTCAGCAGGGTTGATAACCGGTTGGCTGACGGTTGTTCGCCCTCGGTTTCCCATTGTACCACTGACTAGGAACGTTTGTTCATCTGAGCCAGCGACCGCTTAAGGGGCCTTTCAAAAGCACCCCCAGCTGATATCCCCAGCAAAAACTGTGCTCAACTCATGTATCAGTTGCGTCGTTTACTATTCCACCATAAAACGCAAACTACCATGTATCTTTTGCTGTTGTATCGGCAGATGATACCGCTTTGTTACGTGAAGCAATAGGGATCCTTTGGGGAACCTTCGCTTGACATTTTCTCTTTGTGAAGCTGACCGTTTACTTTTAATTATGTTAGAAGTCGAGCGTATATTTTTTCGTTTCGCTTCAATCTGAAAAACTATTTTGCTCTTGGTTTTTCTGCTGGCGCGTCTACCTGCTTTCCCTTTGCACTTCACCCTCTGATGAGTATCCATTGCACAGCGGCATATTGGTCAAATCGCTCTTCAGTATTTCTTACATGATAAACACGGTGCGTGATATATGAATAATTTGTGTATATGTATATATTTGTATGTGTGTATCTCTCCTCTCAATGTGTATGTGTGGGAGGGTCGGCGTGTCTGGGTGTGTGTTTGCTTGTTTCCGTTTGCTTCTTTTTACTTGAATCACCCGTCTGGCCACTGTTTCAATGAAACTGGAACAATCCTTGGAGAATCTGTGTTTCCCACTACAAATGACGGTCCAGGATGCTTTGCTGATGCTGAAATGTTTTTGTGATTTTTTTACCGCTGTACAGAGCACACTTGTCAGATTTTTCGGGATTCTTAGCGACATCCTCCACCTAAGAAACGTGAAAGTAATTCGGAGTACTTCTTCACGCATGCGTATGCTGACTAGTTGAAGCGGTACTCAAGATCTGTACAACAAAAGTGCAGTTGACCTGAAACTAAGGGAGAATGCCAGGATTAAGATTGCTGGGGCTCTACGGGTCAAGAGTGAACACATCACACTGTCCTGTCCGTTCGTGTGACGTTCTGTGCGGTGATTAGCCCATGGACCACGCGGGATCCCAACTCCCGGCAGTAGTTACAAGCGAAGCAGTATAGATATACAATTTGTATTGTCTGGGTGCAGCGCTTAGGTGGGCAGATCTCACGTATTCCTGACGCATTCTCCTAATGAACTGTTCGAAGTATTCTATGTCATGCATACTGCATAGCGCTGTCGCTCTTTCACGTTGCATCCGCTGCATACCTGTCTCGTGGCTGCCGAATCGTCGGTGAACAAAACTATTTGAAATTTAGTCATCTTTGTCCTCGATGGGGCTTGAGCACTGTAGATTCCAGAGTCCCACTACTGCTGCTGCAGGCCACGGCGCAACATAGCCTCTGCTGCCGACTCCTGTAACTGGGTGTATGCATGGACATGAAAGAAGCGTATTTAACTGGAAATAAGGCTTATTTTGAGCTACTACTACTGCCATTTGTACGGAAGTTCCCTTAGCATTTCGAAAAGTGTACTAGGTGTCGCCGTCCCGTAGCTGCACAACGTTTGTTCACAGTTCAACTGATTCAAATGCTGTAGGCCACAACCTAAGGCTTCAATGCACAGAAAAGGCCAAATCACCTGCAGTACATGCATTGAGTTAGTTAGCATTCACAGGGAACTTTAAACTCTCCCATTTGGAGCAGCCCACAAGGCAGTTGCTTCCATTCTTATATACAATGGAAGAACTCACGTACACCATCAAATTCATCCACTCTGTAAAGCAAAAAACTGGACGTGTTCGTTGTACTACTGCTTCAATTGTGCCTTCATCTGCGCCAGACATAGCGCTTGCTTACGTCAGATGTTACTGTTGTGGGAACAACACAGCTTCAAACGTGCATACGTTATGCATGCTTCCCACAGGTAAAGGCAAGGCAGCCCGCGGGAAAGCTCAAAATCAGGCGCTTTATTTTGTTCAGCTGTGTTGGGCACTTCCAAATTTAGCTCTTTGCAGATATATTAACTAGCTTGCTCTGACGCATCGCGCGGTGTTGGACCCTCACCTGCTGGCACCCCTTCCATCTCTTCGTTGCATAGACCGACACTCTGCTGCTGCGCCACTTCAATACGGGCCATCATCGATTCTAACTGCAGCACGTCGCATGCACGTCAACCCTAAAGTCGAAACTCTTAACCTAAACCCGCAGCCCTAAAACTAAGCCCCAATAACTCACAATAAGCACAAAAGCCACTGGCATTACAGCGCTGACACCAGAATTGGCAGGGATGTTGAAGTTGCCCTTCACAAGTTAGGGATGTGAAGTTGCCCATCACAAGTTAGGGCTTCGGGTTAGGGTTTGGCATACGCGCTTCAAAGCTTCCGTTGCTTCCGGCAATATGCGTTTTGAATGCGTTTCGACGGTGGTCTTCATCTGTTGCAGAAGATCGTTGCTGCACAGGACCGACATGCTGCACAAACTTCAAAAATTATGCTCACAACCCACAACTCAGACTCCACTGCAGATTTTCCAATACCTAACTTCAAATTATGGCGAGTAGAGGGATAACAGGAAGGAACAGCCAATGCACTAGGGTTGTGACAGTTTTATTGTCTACCGCTGGAGTTCGCGGTTCACGGTATAGGGCTTAAACACACCGCCTCTTGCTTTTGGGGCTGAAGCTCTCCAACAACGAGAGCGAACGTTCTAGACAGGAAACCTGCTTGTTTGTCAATTCTAACAACCGCTCATGATCCAACTTGCCGCGGGTCACTTCAGCCTGAAAGCAAATCCAACACCCTATACCCCTAGTTCAGATGAGGACACAGCACATAGTCGTACTGTAATACACGCGTGTTCATTTATGGCTTGTTTTCTGCGGCAAAGGGTTGGGGGTTTAGGGTCCGCGGCCTGTCTTGGCACCTGCAGACAGCGGAATTCTTTTAACCAGTTGTAGACGCTTTCCGCCGGTTTATTTCCCTTCACGAGGAGCACACCATAAACCCGAAACAGTTCTGCGCAGTCTGAGATGTGTTGAGTTAAGAATTGCAGACAACTGAGGGTGTGGCGCAGAACACCCAACATGGGCATCTGGCCCTGCTCTTGTTCAGGCGTGCACGACTCAGCCCGCCTTAACTCAAACAGCACCAACTCCTCTAAAAATGAATAAATCCAAGGATCGATGCGGTCCTTCTGAAGCAGCAAGCAGTACAAATGCACATAAATGGCCTGTCTACATAGTTGCAGTGTTTATGTTTAAAAGCGACAGCTTGCTTGCGGTTCAGTTGGCTTGCACAAGAAGAGAATGCATGAAAGAGGGCGAACTTTCGAGGTAGAGGCTTCGAGGCCGGCCAAAGATAAGGTTTAGCAGTTAGGGATTAGGTATTATTTCTAGCAGTTAAGGATTAGGTATAGTTCCCCGCAGCTCGGCATAACAATACCCTCTCCCCACTAAGCCCCACAAGCCCAAACACAGCATTCGAGTTAGGTTTTACTCTGCTCCGACGGCAGCCACTTAACGCGTCATAAACCCCCCCCTCGAAACCCTAATTTTTAAAACTTAAGCAGTAAGTCCTATAGTATGAAGCCTTGTTATGCTTTCCTTCTGATGTGTTTAAGCGCTCCGTGGGGGACGCTTCCCGAGTTGCTTTTGCAGGTCTACGGCATAAGTATTGGAATTTAACTCACAGCATTGATCTGGACGAGGCTTCGAAGACCACGGGAGATGGCCTGCACATCTCTCAGGCGGACGGAGATGCTGATGAAAGTCTCCCAAATTCTCCAATTCTCTCGCCGATATTTCGCCGCCTCCAAGATGCAGTGCTGTGCCGCTGGCCATGCGTCACGCTGAACCAAAGAGCAGACAGCAATCAGTGTTAGGCCCTAACGGACAAGAGTTTACTATTCAGGCGGCGATGCTGGAGTAGGGTAAATGCTGGTGTGTCGAGGGGATAGTGGCATATGGCTGTTAATATGATCTATTTTAGGGTTTAGTGGATGGAAAAGGACTTTGCAGTGGACTGCAGCAAGGTTAGCCCAGGCGTCGCCTTCTTCAGGGTCGATGGCGAGGGCGCGAGCAAAGGCATTTCGTGCTTCGTCAAGGAGCTGCAGGTGTAGGCAGCAGCAGCCCAAAGCAAACCACGTGGGGCTGTGCAAAGTCGCTGCTGCTGCTGCCAATCGCAGTGCTGCAGCTGCAGCCTCCAGCCGCCCCTGCGACATTAGCAAACGGCCCAATGCCCGCTGTGCTCGGGCGTAGCGGCACCCCGAAAGCGTCCTGACAAATACAACACACACCGAAACCACAAAAGGGAGCAAACAAATAGGGAACACAAACACTGAAATGCATGACATTAACACTGTAATTCAAATGCAACACCCGAAAGCTGCAATACATCGCATAAACACTGGCATGCAACGCACAAGCACTGATCTGCAACACATACACTTTGACCTGCAACGCGTTAACACTGAAATATAATGCATAGACACTGAAATACACGGATATTCAGCGACGAAATGTCAACACGTTTTACAGCTACGCATAAGCAGAACTGCACCACGCGAACGCTGCAATACACCACACACGCACTGAAATAAATCGTACAAACTCTGACAAGCATACTGAAGGACAAGGAGCAAACACTGAAGTACCAGACACAAACACTGAAATACACGACATAAACACTGCAGTGCACCAACACCACTTGAAAGTCACGCAAAAGCACAAAAAGGAAACGTAAACGCTGAAGTACAACACTTTGCAAAAGCCAAAACTCCCGTGTAAAACCTCGGACAATGCACACTCTTTAAAGCGTAAAACCAAACCCTCCCCCATAAACCCTAGAAGCCCCCCCACCACACTCTCAAACTCCTAACACCTAACTATAATCACCCTAGGCGGAACCCTAACCTCCGGCAACCTATTATACCGTTTACGTTCTTATCACACACACGGAGCTCGCGCGCATACTGCAAAGGCCGATTAAGGAAAGCCTAGGTCCCAAACCCTAAGCAGAAAGAATTTGACACCGGCATGCTAGGCTAAAACCCAAACCGTGCACAGCGCTAAACCCCGGGTCAAGTAACTGACCAGGCCTCCTTATAGAGATCTTCCGCTCGCTTCGCGTTTTGTGGAACTTCTAAATCAGCCAAAGTGCAAAGAAGATGAGGCGTTGGCTTCGCTGCGATCTGCTTCTCCAGCTGAAGGATCCAAGCCCACAACGCTAAACCCTAGACCCTTAGCTATGAGCCGACAACCAAACGCGCACCCTTATGCTGAGAGAACTTACATATTCTCACATTGCCGCTGGTTGAGGGAGCTGCAGAATGTGCTACCAATCTGAGATGAGAGTTTAGGGTCTAGGTGTTAGTGTCTGGGGTATAGCGTTTAGTGCCTACAAGAGCTCGAGCATCGGCTCGCCGGTCGGCGGCAACAAGGCAGTCAGCCGCCTCTTCCCACATCTGCAGCTCGGTGAACTTCTCAGCAGCCTGCAGTCACAAACTCTAAACCCTAAACCCTATACCCTCACAGTCATATCCAAAACCAAAAGCCCTCGAATGTAGGGTAGCTTCGTATAAGCTAGGTTGCAAATGGAAAGGGTGACCAAACAGGATACACTATCCTTGAAATTCTACACGCAGGCTTTTCAGTGCAAACGTTTGCCATCAATTCTAAGCCTACACCCTATGCTATAGACCGTCAACCCTCACCGTGATGGTAGCGCCGATACGCATCATTCGTACAGCTGCGGTAAAAGCACAGCATAATCCCATCTGAGACTACAAACCCGACACCCTTAAACACTGAACCCTGAGCAGTCGCGCCAGCGGAGATCACGCACAATCGACGTTGTATTGCACAATCGAAACACTTAACGCCAAACAGGAAAATCTAAGATTTCTTCCTCACCAACTTCTCGCTGCAGTTCCCACCAAGTGAGGAGGTCAGCGTGGTAAAGCAAGCCGAAGAGGCGGAAGCAAGCCGGTGGGTCCGTGTCTGCGACACAAATCCCAAACCCTAGACCGCAAAACCGTAAAGCCTAAACCCGTACACCTAAACTCTACGCCCAGAAGGCGTGCAAGCAGCTGCCCGGTGTACGGTTTAGAGTTCTGAAAGGTGGCGTGTCGAGGAGTAGACCAGTAGTGGTTGCAGGCTATTCTGCAGTATCTGGCCCTGTCAGTGCTCGAATTCAGGGTTTAGGGTCGGGTTTAGGGTGGCTAACCATCGAGCTGCTCCCTGAGGGCATGCAGCTGCAGCACAGCTCTCTCTACTGTCTTCACTCTGTGGAACTCCGCGCGACAACGCAGCAGCAACCCGGAGGAAAAGATTGCCCAGTCTGGAGCAGTGACGATACACTCAGGCTCAGCAACAAACAGTGCCTCGGGTTCATGCTGCAAAATCTGCAGGCGCCGCTCATAATAAGCTTTGTCCGTGCTGCTGCTGCTGCTGCTACTGGAGCCTGTTGACGGAGGCAACACCAACGCCCTAGACACCACAGCACCAACTTCCTCCAGAGCCAATGGGTCGTTGCCTTCACCGCAACACACAACAATCGTAAACCCCAAACTCTAACCCTAAATCGGAAGGCCCATTGTTCAGGGCTTACAATAAAGCCTCCCCTAAACCCTCGAATGAGAGATGCCAGCTGCAAAACCGCACGTGTAGACAGGGCACAGTAAGGCGAAGATCCTGTTTCATCAACCCTAGACTCTCGACCCTAGCCCCTAGGACCTAGGACCCTACATGGATTGCTTTCAATTATCGCTCTGGATTTGGCGAGGAGAAGCGCCTGTTCAACCACTCCGAGTGGTCTTTCAAAGAACTCTCGATTTTCTCTGCAGCCCAAACGCACCGCGAGTGGCACCTAGACCCTAAACCCAAAGTGCTACACCCTAAACCCTAAAACCTAAATCTGAAACAATGGACTTACTCCTTTTCAAGTCTCGGCATTTCCATAATGTCATTGTCTTCACGAACATCTTCGAGCCGCCACAGCCGCCGGCGTTCTCCCCCTTCTTCGGGGCCCTCTGAAGATTCCCCTGAAACCCCTCCAGGTTTCGTGTTGCTCTTGCTGTCGGTGGTGGTGCTGCTGCTGCCGCTGCTGCGCTTGGCGGGGTGTCCCGTGAATGGCCCTTCTTCGGAGGGCAGTGAGGGGGCCGTCAGAATCACTGTCTCTTGTTTATCTGCTGCTGCAGCAGCAGCAGCAGACTCTGCTGATGCTGTCGCAGCAACAGGCGCCTGCGCAGTGCTGCGGGACGCACCGACAACCAGTTGCGGTAGTGCCTGCTGCTGATGCCGCCGCCTCACCCCCAAAGCCCCCGTGAGAGTAAACTCCACCCCAAATGTCTCGCATGCGATTTCTGGGATACACACGCAACGCCTAAACCCTAAACCATCATCCCGCCCACATCTACCCTGAATTGAGGCACAGCTTCAGCATTTGCTCAATTAGGAAGGTTTGGCTGTCACGCATAGAAGCGCCAGCAGTTTGGGTGTTGCACCCGCTAGGGTTTCGGGCTTTGGGGTGGCCAACTCACTGTTGACAGCTTCAAACACCTCTACCCGCCCCAAAACTGCCAGCCGAAGCCCCAACTCCAGCAGCAACAACGTCTTGTCTCGGACTGTCACTGCACCACAAACGCTAGCCCCTAAAACCTGGAACGTAAACCCTACACCCTACACCCTTCAACAAGGGAAGCTGCACCACCAGAAGAACAAACCCTACATGCCAATACCCAAACAATAAACCGTAGGCCTTAGCCCCTGAGCCACAGATGATTGGCTTCAGAGCCTCTACTTCAAGCGCTAAACCGTAAACCGTAAAAACTCACTCCATGCTGGGTCTGGCAGAAGGTAGGCGAGATCGACGCGGCTTGGGTCTTTCACAGAGAAGCGCAGGAGCAGTCTCTCTGTCTGTGTCTTTGTTGGTGCTGCTGCTTCTAGAGTTGTTGCTCCTGCTGCTGCTCCTTCTGCTGTTGCCACTTCTTCTGCTCCGGCTAGTGTGTCAGGCGGAACTTTGACCGTAGCATCGGAGCCAGCAGCAGGCGCAGCAGGGGAGCTGGTAAGAGGAGGCAGAAGGACAAATGTGCTTTGTTCATCCCGCAGCAAGAAGGAAACATCAGCTAAAAAGTCGCGAGCAGCTTTATCTGTTTTCTTTCCAAAGTCTCCAGCCCTCAACATACACTCAACGCCCCTCGCCTCAAGCGACGTGCAGCTAAACTCAGGAGGCAGCAGCTGCACGTACAAACCCAAAATCCTCAACCCTAACTCCTAAACCCCGAACACCTAGAAATGCGTTGTCCTTGCTTGTTCCTCCATCTACAACGTAAAGAATATAGAACCATTTATGGTTTACAACTCAGGGTTTATTGGGCTTCGTAGCGTTCATTTATTGGGGCATACAGGGGCATCCTACAGAGTGTGAATTAGGGCTTACCATGGGGATGAGGGTTTGTGCGTGCCTAAAGATGAGGGGTTATGTATTAGTGTTTACGAGTAGGAATTAGGGTTTACGCGTAAGGCTCGACTTGCCTGGAGCTGCCGGAGGACGGCTGCGAATTGGTAGAGAAGGGAAGCGAGGAGAGAAGGCGCAAGGGCCCCCCGGAGGGCCCCAGAGGCCCCCCCGCCTCCTCGCAGCGACCTGTGCTGCACAAAGTCTCCTCTTGAGGACCAAACAAACAAACTAAAGGGCCCCCCAACATCCTTGGCATTTACAGGCGAAGACGAAGCAGCAGCAGGTCCTGTTGCAGCCGATAGAGTCTGGGCCCGCAACCCCTCAAACACCAGACGAGCAAACCACAGATATGCAATACCGCGGACCCCTTCGTAGACCGGCTGCAGCCACACACACGCAAACCCTAAACCCCAAATCCTAAACAGCTGGGAGCACGCGCTGCCGTTCAGCCAGTACACCAGGAAAGCAACAGGAATAGCTTACAACATACGGATTCTCTACGTTCATTAGAGTCCTTTAATTGCGGCTTATTAATCAAGGCACATTAAATGGGGTTTATACTGTGGGATTCACTACTCAGGTGCTGCCGATTAGGGTTTACTATTGTTTTGGATGCTTTGTTATTAGGTCATGCTAGTAGCAAATCCTAGTACAGGCATATCCCCCAGGATATATAAATAAAAGCGTACAGCTTAGGGTTTATTGACTAGGCTTTACGAGGGTTTTGTCTGTTGGGGTTTCTTGAGTAGGGCTTGTGGATAAGGGCCTTTGAAACGTCGTTTACTGAGTAGGGTTTATGAATGAGGGTGAACGAATAAGCGTTTATGAATTAGGGTATACGAGCTGGCGCACATGAATTAGGGTCTAGGAATGAGGGTCTGTACATAAGCGTTCATGAGTAGTGGTTTGCAAATTTGGGTTTGTGGATTAGGGTTTGGGATTTATACCTCTCCGTCGACAGTAAGGAAGGATTCGATTTGTTTAATTCTTTCGCGCGTTTTATTTGTTGTTTCTTCAGGGTCGCCTAAAGCGCAGAATGTCTTAAGAGAGAATTCGCAGTAGCAGCGCCGTTGTTTTGCTGTTGCTGTTGCTGCTGCTGCTGCTGCTGCTAGTGCTGCAGCTGCCTCCTCCCGAGGACAGAAGCCGCAGTACACGCAGCAACAACTGCAGTAAGCAACTCCTCCTGCTGCTGCTGCTGATATGGAAGGATATAAATCCGGGTGTCGTTCCCTTCCTTCTTTTTCTCGCTTTATGTCCACCAATTCGGTTGCCTTAGAAGGACTGAAGGGGGGGCCCGTCAGATTAGCCTGCACAAAAACACTTAAATCCCGAATCCCTAACACTTAGGTCTCATTTGGCGTCCTAAAGACACTGCAAGTGCAGGTAAGACAAGAATATTCTCCCGGAGGCTTTAGCTTCAAGGCAAATAAGGTGGAGGGTTTAATGTTTAGGGATTAGTGTTTACTTGACTGAAGACAAGCAGCGCAGCCACACCCACGAGGAGGAGGCACCGGCATCGAATGGAATTCAATAGAGGGGGCCCATCAAGGCAGCTTTTGAGCGCGCCCTTGTTAAGGGTCTCTTCAATGTCCAGGTCAAAGGCCACTGGGGGAAAACCTTGCTGATCAGGCGCCGCACCCTCGCTACTGCCCGGGAACCCTTGGGGCCTCACATCCGTTACCGCTCCTTCTCCGGTTCCCTCTTGGTGAACCCCCTGGGGGCCCCCACTCGGCGTATTAACCTTGAGAGCCTCAAGATGACGCCCTGCCCAACCGCGCGTGAAGACCGAGCGCCAGCGGCAGCGGCGGATCCATATACATAAATCGCAGAACTGGGTGAATTCTGAACAAAAACTCTAAAACCTCTACCCTAAACCCTAAACCCGGAGGTGAAGTGGCGAATTGGCTGTTACTGCAACAGAGGAGGGCTTGTGTTAGGGTGCTTTTGCGCGTAATGTGTGAAATCCTGCGTTCCCTGCGGACGGTTCAACCTTGATGGTTAAGGGTTTGTACCTTGTCTAACGAGGGCGTGTTGCTCTGCGGTTAAGGGTCCTGCAGCTGCAGCTGCCTCTACTTCCTGCTGCAGATGCTGCAGTTCCCCGTGAAAACCTCTTAAAGACCGCGAAGGCCCCAGCAGCTCTGCCTCAACCCTCCAGAAAGCCTCCCCTAGAGACTCCCTCATCCTCAAACCCTAAACACTCGACAACAGAATCGAGGACCCTACGCCTGAAACCTCCAACCCCAAGCCCTGAACCTAAACCCTTAACCCTCGAAAACAATTTCACGCCTAAAGAAAGACTTCAGCCCCATGCAGAAGCCAAGGTTGCCTGTATCGAGCCAGTTTAGGGGGTTAGGGTATAGGGTTTAGAGGCGACAGTATACCGAGGACGAGGAATTTAACTCTTTGGAGCAACAAGAACAGAAGTTGATAACGAAATATCAACAAAAGTTTATACAATCTCCCAGTGGAAAATAAACGAGCAACCCTCACACCCAGCCCCGAGGGGCCCCACAGCCGCCTATGAACATTGAACGGCTTAAACAATACTTTTCTTTTAGTATAATTGTTATTCAGGTTATTCAATTAATTTCAGTTATTTTCCATTATTATTTTATGGTTAATGTTATGCATCTTACCGCAAATAGATATTGCCGGGGGCTGTGTGTAGAGATCTCTTGGGTTGCGCCAAAGTCGATGCGTAGGCTGAAACTGCAAGATGTACTTGAAGGGTTTTTGTTTCTTATTCTTCGTCGATAAACAATGCAGAATTATATTTAAAACAAAACTAAATAAACAATAATAAAAAATTATATTTCTACTTATCCTGGCTAAATAATAAAAGTGCCAGTAGCTGCTCATGTCAAAACATAATTTGTTGCATAGGAGCCTAATGGGAACTGCCTGCACGTGTCATTTGGATGTCTTCCCAGACAAATAATAAAACGGTTTAGTCCGCATTCTTATTGCTTATAAATAATAAATAGTATTAATACGAATAACAAACAGATAAAATAAAAAGCATACCAAACACACATAAGGCTGCGCACCATTAACTGCAGTTATTATGATTATTAATTATTTATTTTATGAAAGACTCTTTGCTGCGCACCACTAACTGCAGTTATTATGAATATTAATTAAAGTGTCTAGGGAATCGGTTCAGGTCTACACAAAAACTATACTTTGGATCTCTGCTTAAATGCATATATCTGTGTAACTACTTATTGTACAATAAACGTTGTGTATATAGCCTGTATATTATATACTACATATGTTGTATACTACATATTATATTGAATATATTCCAAGGAATACTTCTTTGTGTAGACGAACGTATGATCATATAATTACGTACAGGAATATACATATAAATATTTAAACTATCGTATATTGTATAGTGACTTCGCCTGCATGCAAATGACGCATTTTAATACTGACCTTGAACACAAGAACAAGTACATAGCACTTACTTACCTGCCCATAAATCTATTTATTTGTGTATTTATCCTTTACATTTTCCTTTGCACCTATTTATTTAGATGGCCACATCTGTGCGTACGAAAGAAATGGATACGCGGAGCCTAAACAATAAAGCCTAAAGCGTAGAAACAAATATATGCACTATGCGAGTAAGAGTATGCATAGAGCAGCATTGTCTTCGCTGCTGGTTGTTTTTACTGCAGTTGGTGGCTTTACTATTTCTGCCACACTGTTGCTATTGCTGCTGCTGCTGCTTGGCGTGTTCATCGAGCCGTTCTAGCGCGGTGACAGGTGCACTGAGAGGACAAATTGATCAGTACAAAAGCATCAACAGCAACAACAGCACCTCAAATATCGCTGCGGCACAGCTGCTGCATAGTTAAAGTATATGATGTTGTGGAGAGAAGGGTTTGTGGGGTTTCATTTGCATGCTCCAATCGAAGGGCAAATAAGAAACATTTAACCCCCCAAACAAACGCCTGAAACCACCCATTAACATGTCCTTCATAATGCTGCTGCTGGTGCTCAAGGTGCTGCTGCTGCTATTCACGGTACTGCTACTACTACTACTACTGCTGCTCATGCTGCAAGGGAAAGTTTCCTCCTGTTGCAGCAGCTGCTGCAGCATTTCGCTCTGCGGGGGATCTAAATATGGCAGCAAGAAGGCAACCGCCTGCAGCAGCAAACAGAAGGCTCCCGCAACACACATGCAGCAGGAACAACAGCAGCACCAAGTCCAGAAGCAGAAGAGGAAACAAGAGGGAAGTAAACAGCAATAAATCAGACACCACCAGCAGCAACGGTTGCTGCACAAATATAAGTACAAACAGTGCAACAGCTCCTGCTCCTTGTTTTTCTTAGCAGCAGAACAAATGGCAGAAGGAACCACAGCATACGCAGCAGCAGAAGCAAAACAAATTGTCATCAGTATTCAGTAGCAGCAGCCGCACTGGTAGGGGTAGCAAGAGAATACGAACACGCGCAGCACCATACAGTAGAAACAGCAGTAGCAGCAAGGCCATCCAGAAGCAACAGCAGTAGACACACGGCCATACAGAAACAACAGCTGTAGAAACATGGCCATACAGAAGCAACAGCAAGCATCACGGCCATACGCAGCAACAGCAGGATCATATGAAACAGAAGCAGCAGTTGCAGGTGGGCTGTACATGTGTCTGTCCTTGTGCAAAATCTTCGTAAAACCATTTAAATATTTTTGAGACAAAAATTGAATTTTCATTTATCATAAAATTCGAAGGATTCGCAGCAAACGCCCGCCCTGCTAAAGAGAGCTCGTCCTAAGGAGATAAAAAAATATTAAAAAAATGAATAGTAAATAATAAATAAGCTTAAGACCAACAAAACCGACTGACAATAAACACCTGCAGCGGCATCGTCTAAATCATTAACAGCACCAGCAACAGGCGGCCAGCAGCAACTGCAGCAGAAAAGTCTGACATCGAGGGTCTCTGGATGGTAAATTCGAATTGGAGGAGAACCAACGCAGCCTAAACTCAACGCGAAGTGAATACGGGGGTCCACCTGAACACAAACCTTAAGCCCTAAACCAAAGACCCTAAACCCTAAACCCCAAACCCTAAAACGTCATCACTAATGAGTTAATATCGTATCGACAAATCCAACTAAATCCAACTTCATGAACCAATAGATGTCCCACCATTTTGCAAATAAAGCCTAGACCGTAAACCCTTAACCAGTGTCCGTAAACCGTACTCGACCATCCTACACCATAAGCGCTAAACCCTAGGTCTGACCCCACGCTCCCGAATCCTCACCGTTTTGGCGGCAAAAGCTCTGCGTTTGTCGTTAAAGAGGAAGGGTTTGTGGAGAGCAAGAGGATGCCTCCTGTTCTTCCGCAAAACCCCAAACACTAATTCCATTAAACTGAGTCTAAAACCACCGAGACAAACCCCCGCGCTGTTCATAAACCTCAGGCGATTTAAGAAGCCATCAGGCACACCCAGCTGAGAGGCAAACACTAGCACACAAACCCTAAACGCTGAACCCCAATACGCCTAAAATCTAATTAACTCCTACATATAAAAACGCAATGACACAGTGTAGCCACTAACGAACCCAAACGGCTTATCACCCAGACCATCAAACCCTAATCGTGACAAATAAACCCGAATTCACAATCCCCTCACAATCCCAACTGCCCCGATTAATAAACCCTCAAACAGGAATTCATAAAACTCAGGAAGGGATCAGGATGTGTCTGCTGCTGCCCTTTATGGGTCTTCGGCTAGCGCCTCGTGGGTTTAGGGTCTAGGGTTTGCGAGACCTGTAGGAGAGCAAGTCTGTGCGTAAGGTTGTAGAGATTGAGGAAGAACGCTAAATGGTGGTTTGGGGCCTCTAATGCAGCAGCATCTGCCTGCTGGAGCTCGGCAGCAGCAACAAACAGCTGCATGCAAATTGGATCTTCTACTGCTGCTGCCAAATCAACAAAACCCTCGTGGCTATGCGCAGCCTGATAGCCACAAAAAGCAAACCCTAAACTCCAATCCATAAAACCCAGAGCCCTAATTCACAAACCCTAAACCCGAATTCGTACATCCCAAACCCTAACTAGTACACCCGAAACTGCAATGCATAAAATCTACTCAGTTTTCTGGAGGATGTACTTTGCTGCACGTGTGTGTTTTGTGCGTATTAAGGTTTAGGATTTACGAGCAGGTCTAGGGTTTGCTTGAGAAGGTACTGGACGAGGGGAAGGGGGTTTGCTGCAGGTTGTATCCATTTAAACATGAAGTTGAAGACAGAAGGCAGCAAATGGCATTGAAGACAATACCTCCGGCTGTCTGTACACTCAAAAAGATAATCGGGGTTGAATGGCACCTCCTGCAGCACCTCCAAGTCCACCAGCTGTTGGCCCACCTGAACCCAAAACCCCAACCCCTAACCTACACCCTAAACCCTAAGCCCCAAACTCTAAAATTTAGACCCTTCCACTGGAGGTGTTTGGGGAACACCGGCACCTTAGCAGGCTTCAATTATCGGGCTTCAGCAGCTTTCATACAATTTTGGGTTTAGGGTTTGATGTATAGGGTTTACGGTTTACATAGACGGCATCTGGTTGAGTGATGTGAAGGGCTGTTTGAATTGCCTTAGTTGCTGTTTGCCCAGTAAAGGAAAAGTCGGTGAAGAGAAAACCTGCGAAGGGTTTAGGGAGGAAGGCAGCAAATAGACGCAGGAACTCCGATAGAGCCATTGCCTTGTATACAACCTCACCTCCTCCTACTGCTTCCGCTGCTGCTGCTGCTGTTGCTGTTGCTGCTGCTCCTGCTTCCGTTGGTTCTACTCCGTCCTCCGATGCTGCTGTTGGTGTTGCTGCTGTTGCTACTGATTCTGCTGCTGCTGTCTCCCGACAGGGAATGAGAATCTTCGCCGCATACAGGCAGTCCCTGAAAGGACACAGGGACGCAAGCTGCTGCTGATGCTGCTGCTACTGTTGCTGCTGTTGCAGCTGCTCCTTGTGCTTCTATTTCACCACCAGCAGCACAAGACGGTGAGGAAGCAGCAGCGCCAGCAGCACACTCGTGGCTACACCAGTTACAGCAAACCATCAGCAGCAAGAGCAGCAACACAAGAAACAGCAACAGGAGCGACAGTAAAATGCCACAAAGTATAGCATCAATACGGTCAGGCAGCAACGAGAGCACCATCCGCAGCAGCAGAGCAGCAGTTTCGCCATCACCACCACCACCAGCAGCAGGAATAGCAGCATCTGGTGATGTGGCAGCAGCAGCATTGGCTAACCGTTTCTGCAGTCTTCTGATTTCTTCTTCATTTTTCTCTAAGCTGCTGCATCTGGATAAAGCCAAACTCCACCTGCGACTGCTGCGGCCCCGACGCTCGTACAAATACGCATGCTGTTGTTGTTGTTGTTGCTGCTGTTGTTGTTGTTGTTGCTGTTGCTGCTGTTGCTGTTGTTGTTGCTGCTGTGGCTGCGTATTAGCAAGGCTATGAAGGTGATGCTGATTTCGTAGATGCCGTTGGTGCAGCTGCTGTGGCGCTTGTTGCTGTTGTTGTTGCTGTTCCTGTTCCTCTTGTTGTTGCTGCTGAGGCTGTCTCTGCAGATGCTTATCTAGTTCGTGATGATGTTGCTGCTGCTCCTCTTGGTCATGCTCCTCTTGCTGCTGTTGCTGTTGCTGCTGTTGCATGCATCCATCCCCTCGTTCATCCGCCAGAATGAGGCTTGTCCCATCCCGCAGCACTATACTCTGCTGCTGCAGCAGCATCTTGTGTTGCTGATGCTGCTGCTTCTGCTGTTCCGTCGTTTTCTGTTGCTGCTGCTGCTGCGCCCACAGCAACAACAGCCTCTGCAGGCCGGAGCGGCAACGGCGCTCCTGCTGTTGCTGCTGTTGCTGTTGCCGCTGTCTCTGCTATTACTGCTATCCTTCAAGTTTCTGTTGGTGCCTCCGTTGCTGTTGCTGTTGTTGTTGCTGCTGTCGCGGCTGTTGCCGTCGTTGTTACCCCTTCTTCTGCTGTTGCCTCCGCTTCTGCTGCTGCTGCTGCCGTTGCAGTTCCACAAGATTATGCTAAAGCCTGCCTAGGCCATGCTGCGTGAAAAGCCTCCGGAGGTGTTGTTGATATTAACACAAAAGCTTGCTGCAGCAGCAGCTACCTGCTGCTGCTCCAACTGCTGTTGCCGTTGCCGTTGCTGTTGCTGCCGCTCTTGCGTTCCCGCTTTTGCTGCTCCTGGCCGTTTAGGCCACCTGGTTCGAGATGATTCTGCTGAAGTATTCAGAATTTTTGCTGCTGCTGCTGCTCCAGAGCGAAGCGGGCAATCCCTATGTGCACGGACCACTGGAGCACAGGAGCAGCAGCGGCGGCAACAGCAAGTTCAGCAACTGTTAAATTGGACCCTTGGCTGTTTCGGAGCATCGAATTGCTGAATTCCAAATTTAGGAATTTAGAGTTTACGGTTGAGGGTCTAGGGTCTGCATGTCTATCCTTCATAAGCAGCTCCAGAAGCAGTAGCAGCAGTAGCTGCAGTACCAGCAGTGGCAGCCGCCTCGGCTGCGCCCCTCACCTTGGTGATAATTAGGAAAAGTTTTGACTTCACCTTTTAAGTCTTTTTTTAAACTCTAAACCATAAACCCTAAAACCAAAGCCTTAGGACTCTTCAATGTGCAGTTTGCTACGGGCTAAGTTTGAGGCCGCACCCCCCAGAGACCAGCACCAGCAGCATCTGCAGCGGCAGCAACGAAAACTGCAGCACTGGCATCAACAGGAGCAACAGCAGCTTGAGCGGCAGATAATATAGCAACAAAAATGCCTCACATAGGGGGCGCTTAGCAGCAGTGTTTGCTTCTGTTGCTGCAACTGGCCGCTCGCTCTCCAGTCGGCGCCGATCCCCAAATCCAAACCTAGACCATAACCGATAAACTTTAAACGGCTTAATCTACCTCTTTCAACTGTAAATTTATCAGGCTTGAAGCCTCGCCGCCGCAGGCTAATTAGCCTTTGAACCTGCACCGCCTTACGGTTTCTTCCTTCAAACCTCCCTGCCGCTAAACCCTAAGCCCTAAACCCTAGCGATGGACGCCAATGAATTTCCGCTTCTGCGAATTACGATATTGGGGTCAGAGGGTTGCGGTAAGACGTCAATAGCCGACGCCTTTGTTAATAATGTTATCGCGAGAAGCAACCCTCCGGAACCCACCACTCTCCCTAGGTAACCTTAAACAATAAACCCTAAACCATCGAAGACGTTTTACTGAGGTGGACTCAGGGAGTAAGGCTTGTGCTAGCGTCCGCCTCCTTTTTATTAGTTTGTTTTCCATTCTCTTGTCTGCTTGTTTGATTATTTAATTATGTCTAACTTTATTTTACTTGGTGTATTATTTGCCTTCTTTTTTCGCTATCTGTAACTATCTCTTTGTCTCTTCGCTATAACGGCAACAACAATACCAGCAAGAGCACCAAAGGGAGCCGGAAAGGCAGCAGCAAAGGCAGGAGCTGTTGTTGCTAGATAGTTGCTGCTGCTGCAGGAGGTAATCCCACTGCCTTTGCTGTTGTTGTTGCTGTTGTTGCTGGTGCCGTTGCTGCTGCTTCTGGTTCTTCTGCAGGCTACTATACCGTGTAATGGCTTTACCTATAGATGAAGGAGATGAACAAACACAAAAGGTTATTTGTGAGGTCGAAGATACTTTTTCTCCAAGCAAACAAAACGAGAAAAAATCTATCCGCTCCCTTGTTGACATGAAAAGAAGGAAACTCCGTAAACCGTAAACCCTAAACCGTGAACTCTACAGTTTATTCTTGCTGACGAAGATATCGAGCGGAAGAATCAATAAAAGGACACCCGGAAATAGAAGGAAAACATTGCTGGGGTTTAGAGTCTAGTGCTTCTTGTGGTTTGGGGTTTACGAGGGCTTCGGAGCTTTTAGGGTTTACAAGGGTTGAGGGTTTGCGGTTCAGTTAATCTCCCTCGCGGCGTAAAGGACTTTACACCTTTTTCACTGTGGCGGCCGCCAATAATTCCTCATCATGAAGGAGACCAATATCGAAGCATAGCACACGGCAAGACTTGCTGCTGCTGCTGCTAACATGGCTGCTGCTCATGCTGCTGGTGCTGCGTCTGTTTTAGTTGGAACTGCTGCTGCTGTTGTTCTTGCTGCTTCTACTGTTGTTGCTGTAATTGCTGCTGCTTCTGCTGCAGGCCGCATGGGGTTTTTGATAGTTTTCGATGTCACAGACCCAGCGAGTTTTAACACCGCTACTGAACTCTTGACGCTTACTCGAGAGTTTGCAGAATACAGAAATGTAGGTTTTAGGGTTTGATGCTTGACGGGCTATAGGGTTTAGCAGGGTTTGGGGTTTAGCAGGGTTTAGGGGTTTCCTATTGAGGGTTTCGCTGCTTCTTCAGCCAATGATTTCGCCGGTAATTTTCCTCGTCGCTAACAAAACAGGTAGGGTTTAGCGTTTTAAGACCTTTATGATGTGCTGGGGGACGGCTAAAATGCAGGGTGTGTAGTAAGCCGCAGCGGCATCAGCAGCAGATAGCTGGTCTAGCTGCTGCTGATGATGATGCTGATGATGCTGATGTTGCTGCCGATGTGCCTGCCGCTGCTGCAGATGTCGATACTGAGGGAGATGCTGCATCTCGGTTGCTTGGTCGCGCTGAGCTTTACGCGTGAGTCGAAACCCAAACTCGAAACCCTAAAACCTAACACTTCCTGTAGCCTCATGCTGGCGTTACGCACCCCAGCAGAGGCAGCAGGAACAGCAGCACGGACGGACTTTCAGACTAAGACTCTGCTGTTGCTGTTGCTGTTGCTGTTGCTGTTGCTGTTGCTGCTGCTTACATCAGACAGCAGGTCTTTTGCCGGTTATGGCAGGGATCAGCGTTTACAGGGAAGAACATAAAGAGGGTAACTAGACCCTAGACCTTTTAAAACCCTAAACCCTCTTAATGCACAAGACCCCTCAAACCTCAAACCGCGGGGCACAGAGTCCAGCAGTGCGGAGAGAATGCAATTTAATAGCTTTGGGGTTTCGAGCTAGGGTTTAGGATTTAGGGTTTGCGCACAGATGTTTGTTGACATGGCCCAACTGATCCTCTCCAACGGAATGCTATGGGAGCTCGACTACCACGAGGTAAATCCAAAACCCTTGACGTTGTTGTAGATGCTCAATAATCGCTGAAAACCCACTAATAAAACAACTAAAAACCCTAAAAGCTGTGGTCGAGGGCTTACTCCCTTGGCAGTTGTTTAAAGGGTTTAGGGTTTATGATTTGGGGTTTCCGCGCAGGAGAGTGCCTCCGAGGAGAGCGAAGAAGACCGATGTGCAGTCATGTAGACCCTAGACTCTAACTCCTAAATCCGGAGACCTAAACCGTAAACCCTAAAACCTGAACCCTAAACCCTAGTGGGAGACCCTTGCAGCGTATAAAGCAGACTTAAAGCTCAACAAACATATACTCGCTGTAAACCCAACTTGGAGTGTGGGGCCTCGGGTCAGTTGGCCCTCGAACCCGAAACCCCTCAAACCCTAAACCCTTTTAAGTACAGTGCGCAGGGATATTTTGAGGGCCCCCAGCAGCATCAGCGAAGCCCCAACTGCGAACTCGGGGACTCCTGAGCCCCCGCTGCCTTCACCCCAAACCCCAAACGTACCCTTTAGGCCCCCCCCTTCACACACATTGTTGGGGGCCCCCTTCCGCCCTTCGGAGGACCCATTGGGAGCCCCCATTTCTACAGCTGCTGCTTTTCTCTCTTTGCCATTTGGGGCCCCTCTGGGGGCCCCAACAATGTCGGGGAAGGCCTCAGGGGCCCCTGTACCTTGTGGGGCCCCCTCGGGGGCCCCCTGGGGGTTTGAAGACGGTGTGTTAGGGTTGGCATCTAGGGTTTGGTGGGTAGACCACAGAATGAGGGGTTTTAATTGGCGTCTAGGGTTTAATTGAAAAAGCAACAAATCTCCTGCATGCACATCGCAACAAATATCTTCAATTGGCCCCACACGTACACTGCAACCTGCTGCTGTAGCTGTAGCTGCTGGTGCCGCTGCAACTTTCTTGGAATGCTTCGCCTTCGGAAGGTACAGCTTGAGGTGGCCCGACACGTGACCCTCCGCGTCCTCTTGTTCATGCTCCTGCTGCTCTTGCTGCTGCTCCTGATTGTTTGGGGTGTATGGGCAGGTGTAGGTGAGCAGCAGATATTTATTTCCTCTCTTCCCCTTTTGGAGGAAGCGGGATGGGCCTTGGGGGTCAGATACAATTGCTGCTGATTCTACAAGGCCAATGCAGTACTCGTTCCTGCTATCGCTGTTGCTGTTGCTGCTGCTGTTGGTCCTGCTGCTGCTATCGTCGCTACTGCTCCTGGAGGCGACGCCTCCTCTAGGACCGCTGCTGCTGTTGCTGCCGACAGCTGCTGCGGCAGCTGCAGCCGCTGCTGCGACATGCAGTAAGTCACTGCAGATGTCGCTGCTGCTACCTTCGCTGCTGTTGCTGCTACTCTTGTAGTTGCTGCTGCTGGGAGTGGCGACCTGGCATTGCTTCATCAATCGCTGCAGTTGGCTTTCGCTTAAAGGCCCTTGCTGCGCTGGGCCAGGAGTTGCTAACGCTGCTGTTGCTGCTGCTGCAGCAGCAGCAACCCTCTTCTGCTGCAGCTGTCTGTCTCGCCGCCGGAACACACCATAGGAAAAGCAGCAGCAGCCGCAGGCAGCCGCGGCAAAAGAGAGAAGAGGGGATGTAAGGACGCCATGCAGCATCTGCACTTGTCGCTTTTGGAGCAGCAGGTGGTGCTGCTGTCGTTGGCGCTGCTTTTGCGGCAGAAGCCGCCGCGCTGCAATTATCGATTCTTCGGATTCCTCTATCTAGTGCAGCAGCAGCAGCAGCTACGCCAGCAACAGGAACAGCAACACACTAGAACGGGATAAGGCCCTGTCTCTGTAAAGAGAGCCTCAGGCCATAATTAAAAAAATATATTATACTTTCTAGATAAACTCTTAGGAAGACATGGCACTATTGCTTGCTGCTATTACTGCTGCTGCTGTTGCTCCGGCTCTTGCATGCGTTGTTCCCGCCCCACAGACTTCTATGATTGGTTTGCTGCTCTCTACTCCGATCTTTGTAGTTTTTAAATTACTAAAAATTTATTATTGAGGGTTTAGGGTTTGTTGTTTAAAGTAACGGTTTAAGGGTTAAGGGTTTAAAGTTTTCCAACCTGGCTGCTGTAGCTGCCGCTGTACGGCCTCGAAGGAAGGCCAAGAAGCAGCAACGGCAGCAAGGGCAGCAACAACAGCAAGAGCAACAACACCAGCAGAAACAGCAACAGTAACAGCAACAGCATCACCAGAACAGCCGTCGATGCGCTGAATAGTGCCAGCAGTGGCATTAACTGCAGCAGCGTCAGCAGCGGCAACATAGACAACAGCAGCAGCAGCAGCAGCAGCAACAATAACAACAGCGACAGCAGCATAAGCAACTGCAACAGAAACAGCAGCAGCAGCAGGCTAAGATGCCTCGGTCTGCGGGTGGGCGCTACCTGCCGCTGGCTATCGGTCCACCACCGGCAGCTGCAGCAGCAGCAGCAGCAGCAGCAGACCCGCTTAGCTGCGGGGGTCCATTAACGGGGTCTAGGCGGCTGCAGAAGGCATTTACTTTGGAGTGTACAGGCAGCTTAGGCGGCCCTGTTAGGTGTTGCTGCTTCCTGCAACAGAAGCAACGCAGCAGCAGCAGCAGCAGCAACAATGATGCAGCAGCAGGAGAGTCGGAAGAGGAGCAGGAGGGTGAGGAGGAGAGTTTGGAGGCTGTGCTGCAGCGTGGCAGCAAACGGAAGCAGCAGCAGCTTCTGCTGCAGCAACAGCAACAGCAGCAGCAGCAGCAGCTGAGCAGCAGCTGTTTACTTGCCGAGGGAACGCGAGTGTTTAAAGCAGATTTTAATGACACTTCGCAAACCCCAAAATTTCACTCAGCAAAATATCCTGTAACTGCTATAGCTGCAAGAGAGGGTAAACCCTAAACCCTAAACCCTAAACACTAGAACATAAACCGTAGGATTGTAGAACTGTGTTAACGCGGCATTGTCCTGCTAATTGTGTTGCTGCTGCTGTTGCTGCTGCTTTGCTGCTATGCGTCTTTGTATGTGTTGGCCTCGACAGTACTAGAGTTTAGGGTCTAGGATTTAGGGTTTAGGATTTGTGTTTGCAGACGGTTTGCTGGCGGCAGTTGGCGATGAAGGGGGGTTATGTAGTGTGCTGTCTGTACACTCCAACCAAACCCTCCGGAGGTTTACAAACCCTCGAGATGCAGTTGTTAGAGCCATCAAGTTTTGTAAACCCCGCAACTCTCTCATTACTTCTGGAGACGACACCGTAAACCCTAAACCCTAAACCCTTAAATAATCCCTAAACCCTTTCATACAGTAGACTAAAACAAACGCAGAGCGGCTCCTAGACGCTGCTGAGGGTTTCAAGCGCCACCGACCTCCAGACTTCCACATCAGGGTTTAGGTTTTAGGGTTGGAGGTTTAGGGATTAAAGTTTAGGGTTTAGGGTTTTTTGTTCCAGATAGTACGGGAGTGGTGCTTAGAGACGGGAACATCAACAATGGAGTTAAAGGGTCATGCAGACAGCGTGAAGTGTCTAGACACCTCAACTATATTTAATTATTTAATTTTATCTGGTTCCTATGATGCAACAGCTAAAGTGTGGGACACACGGAGCAAGGTAAGTAAACCCTAAACCCTTATGACCAAAACATAAACCCTAATGCTAATAGCTCGCACAAACAGACGCAGAAAGCGAGACTCGCCAGTGGCGTAGGCGCGAGAGCAGCATATCGTTGGCTACCTGCACGGCAAAAGGAAGGTTTAGGGTTTGGGGTTTGGTGTCTAGGGTTTAGGGTTTACGGTTTAGGGTTTGCGGTTGCAGAAATGTTGCCTCTCCCTGGCCCAAGGTGACCCAACAGAATCCGTTCGGCTTATTGAGGCTTCATCAACCCTGCAGGTGTTGACTGCTGCAGGCAGCCAGGTAAACCCTAAACCCTAAACCCTAAGCCCGTTATCCTCGGAGACTCCACCCGACCTAACTGCTTGAGACCCCTCAACGCCAAATGCTCGTTAGTGTGAAGGGCTTAGGGTGTAGTGTTTGGGGCTTAGGGTTTAGTGTTTGGGGCTTAGGGTTTAGTGTTTGGGGCTTAGGGTTTGCGGTTTAGGTTCGTCTATGGGACCTCCGGCAGTCGTCGGCACCCCTTTGGAGTCTCAGCAGCTTCGCCAAGACCGTTTTTGCGGTGCAGCCGTTTCCTGCTGCTGGTGCTGCTGTTGCAGCTGCTAGTATTGCAGCACCAGGAGCACCAGCAATAGCAGCAGCAACACCAGCAACACAGGACGGCCCCAAGATGCTGCTCGCTGCCGCATCTTTAGACAACGTCGTCCGCATCTTCTCCCTCGAGGTCCTTATAAACCCTAAACCCTAATCCCTAAACCGTTATCCCTTGACCAATCTCTAATCGCTAAACTCTATTAGCTGTGCTTCAGCTCTCAGGAGCAGTTGCCCGACAGCCCAGCACAGTACTGGACCTAGTTAAGGGTTTGGGGTTTAGGGTTTAGGGTTTGCAGTTTGGATGCATGCGTGCAGACACTACAGCTGCTGCAGTCCTTCGGCGTGCGCAGTGACATTTTGTGCCTCGATGCTGTTAGCGGCATGGGCAGCAGCAGCAGCAGCAACAACAGGAAGTTCAGAAGCATGAAGAGCCGCATCCTCGTGGGTTTGTCTGACGGTGGTTGGCAGATGCGGCAAATTGGGGGTGTTGCTGCATCAAGCACAGAGTTGCTGCTGCTGCAGCAGCAGCAACAGCAGCAGCAGCAGCAACAGCAACGCAAACGTCTGCTGCACCTCAAACCAACAGACGGCGGGTACTTCAAAAGAGGGAGAAATGCACCACCCGGAAGCAACGACGAAGTCGTAAGTGTTTAGGGTTTAGGGTTTAGGTATTGGAGTTAGGAGTCACATCCCCCGCATCTTCTACTACTAGAACTACTGCTGTGGCTGCCACTGTTGCTGCTGCTGTTGCTGCTGCTGTTGCTGCAGGTATCGACTTTGCAAACTCGCCGCTTGTCTCGGTTGGATGTTCTGCTGAAGAGTTTTCAGTATACGGCAGCAATGGATGTTGCGCTCACTACATCGTAAACCCTAATCCATAAACCCTAAACCCTTTAAACCCTCTCTCTGTTGCATGGGAAGACTGTTGCCTGGCCTTGACGGCATTTTGTTTGTGTGAGGGTTTGACGCCTTTGTTTGTATGTTCTATATTATAGTTTGTACGTTTGCTTGTTAGAATTTTTAGGGTTTAGGGTTTAGGGTTTAGGGTTTGTGTATGTGCGTGTTGTTAGGGCGGAGCACGTATTGGCTGTGGCAGATGAATTGCTGCAGCGTGGTGCATTAGAGAACGCGTTGTCTCGTTTATCTGTTTCTTCTTTGTGTTTTCTTTTTAAAGTATTAGCAGAGAATATTGCATTTAAAGGAGAAGAAAGAACTTTTATTTCTTTGCAACTCCTCTCTGCTCTATTAAATCAAAAACAACTACAAATCTGTACAGACACCGCAAATGCAGATACATTCAAACCCCTCATCGCTAAAATCTGCCAAGTACGCCAAAACAGACACCAGGGGTCAAGGGTTTAGGGTTTTGACTGGGGAGGGGGGTTAAAGGGGCGAGGGTTGAGGGTTGAGGGTTTTGGAGAGGAGAAGGTTTAGGGTCTAGGGTCTACGGTTTGATATTTGGTGTGTGTGCAGCGCGTGGCCTTTGAGTTGGAGCAGATCCGACGACTCGGGAGGACTGAAGCGATGGTTAATGCGCTTCTGGCCCTCTAGGGTTTAGGGTTTAGTGCTTAGGGTTTAGGGGTTGCAGCGTAGCATTAGGACGCGTGCGCACTCGAAACCCTAGACCCCCTCAAGTGCTATACCCTAATCCGCAAACCCTTGCGGAGAATCTGTAGCCATAAACCATCGCTCTGAGTCCTTGCCTCTGGCTGAGGGTTTAGGGTTTAGGGTTTGACCGCAATAGGGTTTGCGGTGTGGAGGCATCCGATTGGAGCAAACGGGAACAACATCCAACAAAGGGTTTGGAATTTTATTCCTAGATTTTATTGTTCTGAGTTTAGGGTCTAGAGTATAGGGTCTTAGGGTTTAGGGCTTAAGACTTTAAACTTTAGGTTTTAGGGTTTAGGGTTTACTGTTTAATCAAGACAGTGGCAACCTGCCTGTGGGGCCCCTGCGACGACACGAGCGGTTGAGGCCTGTGGCTCTAACGCCTAGGGTTTAGGGTCAAGAGTTTAGGGTTTAGCGGCATTGTTGTTTACAGCAAACCTGGAGTTTTTAGTTTTTTAGCATTTAAGCTACCTTTTTGTTTAGTGGGATTTAGGGTTTAGGGTTTAAGGTTAAGGTCTTCATGGGGCTGCCAAGTTCTCCAATATGGCTACGGTCACTGGTACACAGGTCCAAACCATAAACCCTAAACCCTAAATTGTGAGAGACTGAATTGTTTATATGCTTTAAATTAAGCATAGAAGATTAGTTGTTTGTACTTGGCTGTACAGACACTGGAGGCGACGGGCCTCTCTGCTGCTGCTGCTGCCTGCAGCAGCAGCAGCAACGGCAGCAATGCCCGGGCAGCAGCAAACGAATAAACGAATAAACTCGCTGCTGCTGCTGCTGCTGCTGCTCACCTCGGTGCAGCATTTGTGGGCCCTTTCGATACACCGCCACTGCGGCGGAGTTGTAGCATTTGTCACGCAGCCACAGCAACAGCAGGAGCAGCAACAACAGCAGCTGAAGCGGCGGGTAGTCACTCTGTCTTTTGTGGGGTCTTATAAGCCTCATGTATTTTCGAGTGTACGTACACCGCAGCAATCTGTAGCAGCAAATGGAGCGCTTAAAGTGAATGCCCCGGCAGCTGCAGCTGCTTTTGCTGTTGCTTGCGGAAGCAGCACCAGTCGCAGAAAGCCATTGACGGCAACTGCAGGAGAAAATGCGGCAGACGCAGCAGCAGACGATACAGCAGCAGCAACGACATGGACAGATGCAGTAGCAGCAGCAGCAGCACACGAGAAAGCAACAACAGCAACAACAACAAATGGTGCAGCAACAGCAGCACACCCACCACCAGCAACAACAGTAGCACACCCATCACCAGCAACAACAGCAGCACACCCACCTGCAGCAGGAACCGCAGCATACCCAGCTGCAGCAGCACAGACACCAGCCGCACCAACACCTGCAGATGCTGCTGCAGCTGCTGAAGCAGAGGAGACTGCGGAAGCAGCAGCAGCAGCAGCAGCACTAGAGGCCGTAGCAGCAGCAGTAGCAGCAGCAGGAGAAGATGGGAAAACAAATCATATTTTATGTGATGCAGAGATATTTAAGAAAAAACAATTCTTAAGAGAAAGAATTGACGAAATACAACAATCAGGTGTACAGACGGTCCGTACAGCCTGCTGCTGCTGTGGCTGCTGTATTGCTGCTGTGTTGCTGTTGCTGCTGCTGTGTTGCTATTGTCGCTGCATTTATTGCTATTGCAGTTCCTGTGTTTGGTGCTGCTGCTGCCCTTGGTGTTTGGTTTACACATTGACTCTGCTACACTTGCTGCTGCAGTTGCTGCTGCAGTTGCTGCTGCTTGTGTTGCGTGTGTTTCTTTATATAATTGCGAATAATTAAAAATGACGTAGTAATTAACATATAAATAATTACGTACTAATAATTAATTAATAATTAATTTGTAATTATGTTTCTTAATAATTGTTTGATTAATAATTAATTAATTAACTATATATAACTATATATATATATATATATATATATA